AGATAAATGGTAGTTTAGCTACCAACCATAACCTGTGTACACTGTTCTTTGGACAGCCAAGATAATTGTAAGAAAAATATTTAAATTCAGTGTGCTTTCTTGTCATTGCCAGGTTTGTATCTCTTGTTTATTTAAATCATGTGGTATGTGGTTCATCAGTTTATTTTAAGGTCATAAGATCTTATTCTTGTCTGATTTATATAAACAGGTATAAAAATGATTGATGTGTCATTTAAGCAATTAAATTACATCAATTCAGGCCAAATAAAAAGGGAATTTCACTGGCTTTTAAAGAGTTATATTAAAGAATCAAAACACCAAACACCCACTGGATGTTTGTATGAAGTGAAATCCAAATCCAGATGACCCATGGTTTAATTTTGAAAACCAAAATAAATCCTTTGTCCAGCATCTACAGTTGGACATTCCTGACTCTTATTCCAATGTCTGAATATTAACTCTGTCCTGACATTAAGGGTTTTGTATTGTACATTCTGTCATTTAAGGTACCTCTACTCCAGGAGATACTTTGATAGATGCTAATTTGGAATGTGCAAAGAATATAACCCAGTATTTCAAGCCATTTCTTTATGATAAATCTGTCAGTTGTTATTTGTCCCATGTATTCAGGGTTTTGGTGTTATGTGAAACTACAAACCTGACTACTTTCCCCCAAAATTTCTAATATTTTACATGAAAAAAATCTGTAGAAGTTGTGAATTTGCAGCTGACAAAGGACTGCTCAGTCATCTGCCCCAGTTGTGAATCCTAAAGGTCGTTACACAATCATTGTATCACCTTGTTATGTTTGAAACCTGGCCTTTAATTTGTGGAAATTAACTTATTTATTGGAGCCTGGTTGGGTACATAAATGCCACTGTACATGTAAAATATCACACGTCTCCAAGGTCAGGACAGTGTCAGTAAACTCTGCATACAACAGAACATGCTGCAGAACAAATTTAAATCACTTCAAAAGTGCAGCAGAACAAAACAAATTTAAATCTGTATAAAATTTTAAATCTGCATAAGAGTGTTTGACCTGTGTTTCTGTGCAAGTCGGAGCAGAACCAAAATATGAGAACAAGATGTAAGTGTATTTAGATGTCTTTGATGCTCCAACCAAAATTTCATTTGGTCTTTTGCAAAGCTTCTAGTGAGCATAGGGAGCTGCAGAGCACTTCCTTGGTTGACAAAAATTTCTCAGAAAGCTGAAGCCATCTGGCCTTTAGTGTTGTTTTCAGGTAAACTTTCCTAACAGACTCATTTTACAGAAGAGCTGTGCAGGGTCTTTCAGAACTGCACACACAGAAATGTTACTGGAACTGATACCCAGGCACCAGAGCTGGAAGCAGGTCAGCCCCACATCTGCCACCAAGGATGTGTCCCTGCAGGTGCTCTTCTGGGTGTGTGATGGAATAACAGCAAAGGCTTAAATGGCAGCTGCATTTAAGTTGAAGAACAATGAAATCAAAATTATCTTTTTCACAAGCACTCACTTAACAAACAACAAAATTGGGGGACAAAAACCTGGTGATTTGCTTCACAATGTGTTCTTTTCTGTGCTGTTAGAACTGGCACAAAACTGGCATTTATAATTTCAGTAATACAAGATATTTTACCAGGAACCCAGAGTCAAAAGATTGCTATTTATTTAAAATTAATTTTACAGAGAATAAAGATTTTTTTTTTTTAATTAGATCATAATTGTTGGTGATTCTGAGTAAGTTGCACCGTTGAGGTTGCAATCACCATAGAAGAGTTGCTGTACATTTGGAAAGAACCAAAGTGAAAAGCATCCACAGTCTGTGCACAGACAAGTGATCCAAGGCCTAAAAGGGAGCTTGGAGAATAAACCTCAGTGCTCTGCATGAGACATCTGTGACATCCCAATGACACTCTGCAGTCCTAAGCCTGAGCAGCAAACTCCTGTTTCCAGTCCATCCTATTGGCTGCTCTGCCTGCCTGAGGTAACTTCAGTTCTGAGATTGTTTCCTTACAAAGCAGAGGATGTAGATTACATTATTATAATTTTCAGAGACATAAGGTTCCCCATTCACACACATAATTTTCGTCCTTTAGTGAAGGATTCTTTTTGGTTCCTTCCACACTGTACAAGGTAGCAAAGTGACAAACATTGATCTAATAGGGTCACTGGCAGCCAGATCAGAAACCTCTGTGAAGCCCAGCCCAGCCCTCCCGTGCTTTAGGTTCTAAGTGTGTTGTGTTTTGTTCCCCTTGAAGCCGAGCTCTTGTAGCAAGACAGATAAGGCCTGCTCACAGACTATTACCTTCTTCCTGACTCCTGTGGTTTTCACATCCCATCAAATTGTCATTTAGCTGAAAGCATGTCAGACCATTTCACAGGACCGTACTGGAATAAATTTAACTGTACTGGAAATTGATGGTGTTGTACTGTGAAACTGATTGGGTTGGAAGTGAACAAAACATCATTCCTCAGTCATAGACGGAAAAGACTAATGGTATTGAGAAATAATTTTAAAACATAACAATTCTGTTAACTTCATGTGTCCTATTTCAGGTGAGCACCTTGCAGTTCCATATGAGATCTAGCTGAAATTTGGAAGAGATGGGTCAATATAATGTGCTTTTATTAACAGAAATTACACCTTTACACCTTGTGGTCACAGATTGTGTATGTGGCCCAAGTGACTTTGAATTTAGCTCCTTTCCTCATATTTTCCCCCTCACTGCTTTATCTGCCTCACTAAAGAAGTGAAATAAACTAAAAAAATCACTAAATATTGAAATAAATCTGCAGACTTCAAAGCACAAAAACAAATGCAACCATGAAGAAATAAACAGAACAAAGAACCTTCACTCCCCCCAGCACCACTGACAGCAGCTTCCCTGGGTGCAAAATCAGATTTGCAGGTACCAGATTGGGATTAAATGTGGACACAACTCTTGTTAATCTAAATTTTTAACAGCATCATTTAGAGTTCCAACACAGGGCTGAAGAAGTGGCCATTTTCTCTGCTTCCTTAATAAAGGGCTCTTTATTCAGTCCATTTTCCTGACTGTTTTCTCAAAAGATCATAAACGTGGAGAGCAGCCCTGCACCCAAACAAGCCATGGCAGCCCTCGCCCCGCAGCCCTGCACGCACATTTCTGTCTGCGCCTTTCCCAGCGATGCCTCCAGGCTGCCGAGTGACACCCGGCGAATCCGCGATGCTCCAGCCTGACCCGAACCCGACAATGCCTTCTCACTCCCCGCAGCCCCTCCTCCTCCTCCCGAAGTGAGAGACGGGCAATGCTTTTATTCCTCACCGGGGAGCAAGACGAGCCCAGCTCTGCTTGTGAATCTCCTCTGCTCGCTGACACGCGTCAGACACAACATTTTCATCCTTAAAAGCTGGAGCACAACAAAAACAAAACAAGAGCCCAAAAAAAACCCAGTGAGCTCCAATCCCTGTCTGGAAAATACAAACACATTATGCTCCTCTTGCCAGAGCCCAGCCATGTCCTTTGTTTCACAAAAGCTGTGTGATTTCTCTGCTCCCATCATGTGCGTTACAGCTTCCATCCTGGCACTGCCCCGGTTAATGAACAAACCCCCACATATCTACAGTCTCTCAGGAGATGCTGAGATCCAACTGACTGGCACATGAGGAAGGACAAGGTTTATGGGTTCACTTGGACATGGAGATCTTCTCCCTCATCTCATTTCCTCCCTGCCTGTAGTCACAGGCAAAGCTGGGAGCTCTCTATGGCAACAAACCAGCCCTTGCTGCTTAAGCCCAAGGCCTGAGAAGTCAGGCTGGCTTTGCTGCTTCTGCACAGGACAACGGGGCAGTGGTGCTGCTGGGTCAGAGAACTCTGCTCCAGGAGATGGGCCCTGAATATTTAAAGTAGGAGAATTCACTTTAACCTACAATTTTTGGGAGTCTTGAGCCAAGTGCCAGGTAAAGGGAACACACTGCAGTGCAAACTGGACAACAACCTGGTTCCCAAAGAGCACTGCTGATGCTTTTGTTCTCCCAGAAGCTGTGTCCACAATAATTCCAGTTACTTATGTGCAAACAAGAAAAGCTCTTGCCATAGATTTGACCAAACCAGGTTCCTCGTTTGTTTGCCCTTCTGTTTGTTTAAAGTAGGAGTGCTGAGCAAAATCAGTATTTTACTGGGATAGCCACAAGCAATGGACAGCTTGAGCCTTACTCCTCCAACTTGGGCCAGAGCTGTTTAACTTGAGAGTGAACCACCTTCCTCATACTCAACAAATCTCAAGTAAAATGCCCTGCATGCATAGATGCAGAATTCTACACTTGAAAGACTCACAAAGGAGAAAGAATTTCCTAAATCTGCTTTCCATTTTCCTTTCATTTGCACTGTTGGAGTCACTGCTAATCCATCCTTACCTGGCAGCAGTGACAGGCAGGACCTGGCTGGTTCTGCTGGGCAGCCACACCCTGGCACTCCCTGTGCCCCTCTCAGCTCGCTGGTCCTGCTGGGGTTAACCAGCTGTTGAGGGTTTCTGGAACACACAGGACACCAAATTACATAAATACTGCAATTACTTTGAATGTATTTTACATGCATCTCATGTGTGTGTTTGGCAGTGTGGTGGACTTGTTTTGAAGCTGAATAAAGTACATGCAGAATAGTCATGGATGTGTAAAGGCATCCAAATATGAGAATGGCTTTTCAAACCTAGTGAGCCAAATCTTCCTCATTTAAAGAAGGGCTCTGTAATGATGATTTATGCATTTTTACTGTGGAAAAGTAGATACACAGTATTGTCTTGTAAGCCTCCTGAACAGTCCCCATAAGGGCAGACTGCAAAGTTTATCCTATACCTCAGGTTCCAAAATATTGGTTTGTTCACCTGGTCTTGCCCAAAGCCCATGAGATGTAAAAATACAAAGTCTTACAAGACTCTAGTCTCAGCTCAGGTCTTTAACAACACTAACAAAACAAACAAGCTTCACTTTCTCTAAAGCCTTCCCTGAAAATTACAGCTTTATTATGCATAATTCAATTTCATCAACTGCTTTTCTTTATTGTCCCATCTAATTATGCACACGTATATTTTTTATTGCAATACATAAATTATAGACCAAGCATAGCACAGAAATATACACACATTTCTTATGTAAGAAGAATGGAAAAATCAGTCAGGCCAGTCAGGGATTTATTTACTCTCCTGTCCCATTCTGGATTTGTAGGTGTTTGTACAGATTCAGAAACCACATCTGAATTCTGTCTGAATTCTCCCTTTGGTTATTACAAGGACATTAATTACCTGCATTCCATAATATATCACACCAACTTTAAATGCTTTATTCCTGAAAAACAAGGCCAGATGCACAGAAGTTTTTGTGCTTCTGACAGCCTAATGATGACAACACAGTAACTCAATTTGTTGCCTGATTTTGGCTGAGAGAGGCTCAGGTCAGCCTCTGGTGTTTGATGTGCCACATGCATTATTTTTCAGGACTGCAGTCCAAATTCAGACTTTAAATGATACACCATTCCTTGTTCTCCACAAAGCTACAGAGGGAGCTTGGGCAATAAGATCTTATCTTTAGACTTCAAAGGTATTGTCTGCAATGAGACCCTGTGGATAAAGCCCTTCAGGGCAGGACTTGTTCCTCCTGAGCCCACTTTGACTGTGCTGACCACTCATCCTTCTCTGCAAGAACGTCTGCACACAGCAAAACTAAGCCAAAAATGTCAGGTTTTTTCCACCACATATTGAACCACCTATGGAATATAATTAATCTCAAGTACACATTCCCTCTGCAAGGTGTCAGGATAGCACAGAGTCTAGAGGCATTTGTGTCCAGTGAAGAATGTAATGCCTGCAGGTCTCCCTTCTCCCCCAGAGGAGAGAGATTTGAGAGGCCCCTGCAATGGATGTTTATTTATCTGTGCATTGATTTATTAATTTGTTACACACTAATCATTAAGCAGCATCTGGTGCCCAGACAGTACAAGGGGTCACACAATCAGCAATGCAGCATCACCCACTGCCCTGCCAGGCCTCTCCAGAACCCAGAGATGCTAAAACACCAAACTTTAATTTCATAAATGCCAACACTGCTTTGCAGTCCTTGGATGAGCCCAGCCATGGAAGCCCTCCTGACCAGACCAGGGAGTGCTCCCCTTATGTCCCTGAGGTCACAATTTGGCTAAACATATGCAGAACATGCTTGGCTCATTACACATGTGCATATCAAATCCACATTCAGCAGCAAGGGAACAGAAGACAATATATGGTAAAATACTGGAACTGCACTTCAAAGATCAGGATGCAATTCCACGGACTCCCAGGGTGACTTTGGCCACAACACTCACCTTCCCTGCTTCAGCTCCCATCTGTAAAAAGCAAAATAACCATCCCTCATTTTTACTTCATCCATCTTTGCAATTTAAACTCGGAGTTTTTTGTAGTGGTGTCTCTTTCTCAAAATACATCCAGCTCCCAGTACACAATGTCCTCCTCAGAACAGCCTGATGAAAATGCTCAAAAAAAAAATAAAATAAAAAGAACCATATAAAACATCCACTGATAAGACCACCAGCACAACAATGCAGTGAACAGCTGTAATCTGTGGGAGGATTATTTCTCTTTGCCATAAATGCCATCTATTTTTCAAGACAAGCTCTTCCCTTTCATAGAACAGGGAACACAGTATCTGCAGACAACTTCCCTTCCCACCAGTATGGTTTTTAAAGGCTCACAGTAGTTTGTGGCACTAATTAGAAGATGTCACACCTTAATGACAAATGTTAGTACTATTCTGCTTGATTAACGTAATTTATTTCTTCATTGGACATTTTATTCCAGATGAGCTGCTTTTCATCCTCAATATTTGCTGGGGGGAAAAATGCATCCTGACATGCAATGTTAATGTGCCCTCTGTGCTGACCTCTTATCTCTTAACTTTCCAATCTCACCCCCCCCATTCTCTGCAGTGCCTGAAATGAGCTTTAACAGCAGCTCTTGGTCAAGACTCTCAGACATTGGAGCCCTGCCAAGGCTTTTGGGGTGCTTAGCACTGACTACAGGTCTATTCCTATGACATACACATTTAAATTTAGCACAAAACTGGTGGGGAAGAAAAGAGAAAAATATGTAAAATGCCACTTTCTGACAAGCAGAAAATTAGAATTCATTCCCCTGAGAATTAAATGGACTTTTCTGCTTCCAGTCACTAACTATGACAAGGTTAACATTTTTCAGTCTAATGACTAAGGACATGAAGTGTGCATGTGAATAAGAAATAAAATTACTGGAGGGTATTAGCTAAGTGTGTGACAACAGCCTGAGCTGACAACAGAACTCTGAGGCTGCAGATTGAAGCCAACACTGATCCTTTGCTGTGGAGAACCAATGGATACCACAACATGGAGGGCACCCTTCTGTCCTTATTACTGTAGCAACACCAAAATCACAGCAAGATTCATGTCTGGGTGGGGGAAGAGCTCATCTCAAAGGGCATCCAGCATTTCCCAGTATCCCAGGCAGGGGCACCGTGTCAGTCAGAGGCCACAAACCCCTGAAGATACTCCAAAAAGAAAAAATCCCAAGTGCATCTCTTACTTCCCCAAGGATTCTTTCACCATTCCCGATTTAATTCTGATATGACATGAGGATTAGGGTAGGAGATTAAGTTATTTGTGACTTGCCTTAGCTTCTGTCCTTCCCAGTTCTGCTTTCCCTCTAGCTCCTCACTGTCTTACTCAGCTGTGGCAACCTGAACCTGTGACTTCCAGACAATAAAGGATTGGGATGCAGCACGGAGAGCTCAAAGGAAAAGAGAAGTCTCTGTGATAGGCATTAAGATACTGTTAATGATGGATTATTGGGAATCTTTCAGGATATATGTAAAACAGGGACACTGAAAGGTAAGACAGGAAAATTATATTTTCAAATATCTAATTTCTTGAGTGAAAAATAAGTGTAAAAATGGCATTTAGGTCAAGTTAGAGAAAGCCCTTTTAAACAGGAACAAGTAATATGGATTATATCAAAATAATAAAAGCTGCAAGGACATCGACGGAATTCAACACAGAGCTGTCCTTTTATTGTTTCTGCCTTTGATTTGGTTTCAAAAGCTGTTTGGCCACAACTGAGGAAAAATGCAAAGCTTACAATTTAGAAGATAAATGAAACATTTAAAAAAATTAAAATAGACATTAGGATTAAAAAGGAAAGAAAACCAGAAGAAAACAAGTACTTTCAAAACCACAGAACCCACCTCTAGATTAGCCAGCTGGAAGGATTCAGCAATTTATCTCTGCTTTTCTGTGGCTGTCAGGGCACTCATCAGTCCAAAATAATGCATTTTTAAATTTTTCTAGGTCTGAAATCAGTGTGATGAACTGTTAGGCAGCTCAGTTCATGTTTGCTGCAACATCAAAAGCTGGATTCTCCTCTCTTCAAGTACAAACCACCAGACACATCTCAACCTCTGAAAGGTCTGTGCTTTGCCAGAGCAGTGTCAGAGGATTCCTGCATGTTTGACACCAATGACAAGTGCTGCACCTGCCCTCCCACAAGCTCTGATCCACATTCCACACCACTCTCACTGCACTCTCATTACTTTTGGTCCCTGGCCTCATTACCTCACACTTCCCTACATAAACTGCATAAACCACTTACCTGCCTGCAATCCTGATAAATCCAAATCACTTTGAATGAGTTTGTTTTGTTCCTCTGCCCCTCCAAATTCCCCTGCCTTATTTTGTGTCATCAGCATATTTCAGGCACTTTTGAAATTACATCCTGCTCGAGGTCACTGCACTCATTTTAGTTCCAACCCCCCAAGCACATCAGTGCTTTAACTCCCTTCTGATTTATTTATCCTGTTTATTATCAGAGCCCAATTCAATCAATAAAAGCTGGAATTCAAACACACACACATTTGAATTATGCATACAAACACTCATCAGGGGACAGAAGACAACTGCTATGGTCTAGATCATTCCTCTAACATATGGCAGCTCATAGGTAAGGGAGCTCATAGCCATGAATTTTTATACCTTGACTTCTGCTTGACCCCAGTGGTTGTTGGCTACTGGAAACCAAATGAATTGAAATAGCATCAGAAATTCCATGGAAGAGGCTTGGCCAAGGGATCTCTGCATTTCTTGTCCCAAGCCACTAGAACTGTATTTATGGGCCTTCTGAGCTGACAGTTCCTTTATTAGCTTCTGTACACACAGGAATTCCAGAAAAACACCAGCAACCCACACCAGACAGTCATGTCAAGCAAATGCTGCAAACAGAACAGTGTACAGAGAACTGGAACTTAAAGGGAAACCAAAGCACAAACCTCAATTGCAGCCTGGCTTAGGCATCAAACCAATCTAAACAGGCTGCTGGAAGCAGAGTAGGAAATTAATAACTTTTGGCTCCCCTCTGCAAACCACCACCCTCCCTAAACCTTACTGGTCAGCAGATCCTCAGGCACAGCTCACTGCTGGCTTCTGCTTGCTTTTGAACACAGTTGGTGGTTACAACCCAACAACACTGCAAATTCAGAAAATGAAGGCAGAGAATCTGTGGACATGCTACAGACAGACTACCTTTGGAATTTTGTGCTCCAGCTCATCTGGGGTTCTATTTCTCTCAGTCCTTTGCCATCTCCTCACTGCCCTTCCCTCTCCATCCTCTTCCTACCATGAGTGCTGGCAACTAAATCACAGCCCCTCTGCCCCTCCTCGTGAGTTTGACAGTGACAAAATTCCTCCTGAATCTTACCTGGCCTAGAGTTACGGGAATTCCAGGAGTCTCTTTGAAATCCTGTTTAAATATTTCACATTTTATGCACAAAGTATTTTGGCTTTTCTATCAATACATTTCTGCTTGGTAACTCCCAGTTCGAATGCTGATTGTGTTTTGCATAAATTCACTAAATTGCAGCCCTTCTGTTTCACTGGTACTTTTTGTCTGCTTCCATCAGGAACAATGTCAGGAAGATTGCAAGCTGACTACAATTCTCTTTCCTAAGCAAGAGGAAAATATGTAAAAGCCCAATCAGCACCAGTTTCCTGATGGCAGTTGGGCTTTATAAGCTGTATTGTATTCTGGCATTTAACAATTTCTGTTCATTTGGTTCACTTTAAGAAGGGAATGTAACAATTGCCACAGTGTTCTGAGCCTCTGCTGTCTATTGATAAATATGGAACAGGTGTAAAAACAGTTTCTCTTTCTTTCTCCTTAAAAATTCCCTGAGATAAAAAGCTGTTTATGCAATGCCAAAGCAAGTACTGGTCTCTGCTCCCAAGTTCCAACACTCAGCTTCCACAGGGAGATGTGCAGCAGACTGGAGTTCACAGGTAAGACAAGACCAACCGTGGTGTGAAGCTGCCAAGAACACAAAACTCTGCTCAGGTGCTTCCCTGTAAGTCCTATATCCCCATAGGTAGGGGAAGTTCCAGCAATTGATGGCACATTTTAAAGATTCTTCTACTACACAGCACAAAGAATTCCACATTCAGCCCTGGTCTGACAGTCAACAGTGCGTACACATGGGACAGGTTTCATTAACCAAGAAATGCACTCACATCTCACCCATGACAAAAATCAGTTACCACAAATTGGTTTAAAAAACAGTCACAGGATTTATTGAGATAAATACAAAGTTACATAGATTCTCTATTCTGACAAATGAATGACACTTCCAGAGTGTCCCCACTTAACTGTGCTCTGAACACCACGGTGTAGTGACACAGCTGCCACGTGCTCATCACACCAGGGCCACAAGTGAGGCTCAAACCTAAGCAACATGACCAACATGCTTTGGATCACAAGTGCTGGATCATTCCCTACAGCATCCCAGCAATATTGCACCAACTACTGTTACTGTCATGTTCCTTAGCTAGAAATGCTGAAAAGTGATATTCTTACTGCTGCTGTGAAAGTGGGTGGACTACCTAACTTTGCTCTACCTGGCTTTTTAAATACGTATTTTTGCATAATTTAAACAACCCAGAGAACTGCACATGAACACACTCATTGCATACATTTGTCTAGGACAAGACATAAAGTGCAGCCTTTAGTCATGCTGAAATCATTTCTAGTTTAAAACTGAACCAAAAGGACAAACTTACAGAGGGTAAATCTGGGTAACAGACCTGCACATTGTCTACAGAAAACCCACCCCAGAACTATGCTGGCCCCCATTAGGACATGGAACTGTGGAGTTGTAACAGGAGGTTTTAAATGCTTGACTTAAATCACCTCGTTCAAAACCAACCTGAATTTGGGAGCCAGAGAGGTACTAAAATATTATCAAAAAACAAGGAATTTTATTCAGCCTTTTAGTGAGCTTTTATAGCTGGTGGCTTACCCTTTTACACACATCCTAGTTAAAAACTCCTACTGAACACTAAGCCAAACATGCTAAAAACTATGGAAGCTTGTGTTTTCCAGTGGATTATTGCAAGGTAACTATTGAAGGTGATCTGACAAACAGACCTGGGTTGGGTTAACGTTCAAGGTATTTAATTTATATACAGTATATTTCAAACATACTTACATATACACACGGTTAAAAAAATCTGTTCAGTGCTGAGAAATTTAATGAACTGATAATAAAAAACAGAAGTGAAACCTTGTCAGAAAGGCCTTAGAAAATCTGAACTGTTAGAAAATATCAGTATAATGCCAGCATTAGAAAAAGATATTAGAACTAGAAAAAATTAACTTGAGGGGTCTTTTTGTTAAGAAATTGCAATCATAAAAAATCTGTAGTGAAGAAGCATTTGTTTTAAATTATAAAAAAAACTGTAAAAAATTAAATGTAGAATGTTGCAGAGTTTACACTGTTTGCTGCAATAGCAGTGGTGTGTTTCTGCCTGCAACTTCCAAAGAGCATTTTGTGATCTTACAAGAAAACAATTTGCTAAAAATACTGTACATATTATAATACATGTCTGGTTAACTCATACAAAAGTGAGCCCTCCCAAAATACAGAACCCAGCTGAGGAACCTACTCACTGTACTGCCGCATCCAAACAAAACCAAAACAGGTATTTCTGTGATAACCTTCCCCCATGTGAACTACTTACTATGGAACATGAAAGAAGGGTGAGTATTGGTGAGTATTTACACAGGTCTGCTGAGGTAAAAGGACTCTGCTCTCAGGAAGAAAGTAACTGTGATTATATGAAACCACTTCAATAATTTATAATTTATAATAATTTGGTTTTTTGAGCAGGATAAAGTTTCAATCCACAATTTAAAAAAGACTATTTTTTCCCAGGACCCACGTTATTGCACATTTGGGATCCAAAAGAAGACAGGGTCCAGCAGGAGTATAAGCTTTATAATTTGTCTGAGGCTACTCAATTTGACTAACACAATTGTGCTCTTTCTTCCAAGCCCCTGTTCCAACAGAGAGGAGACATCCCACTTCACCTAACCTGTCTGACTTGGTGTTTGTCCCAGACCTTGCCCTACTACCCACAGGGGTGGCAGAGCAAACTGTGGCACCACCTTTCCCCAGAAGATTTCTGCACTGGGGTTTTGCAGAATTTAGCACTGCTTTGTTTCTTAGGAAAAGCTGTTTGGGGTTTAACCACTGGGCAGGTTAAAAGGTGTTTGTTAAATGAGGTGTGCATGTAGAACAAACAGACTCAAGCCTGTATCTCTCTGTAATACCCTTGTACAGCTCCAGCTCCTGCTGCAGAATTGAATCCCTCAACTCAAGTGACCTTTGCTGGGTCAGAATGAGGAATTTTCCGCATAGGAGATCTCCAGTCTGCCTGCTCCTGGGAGAGGCAGCAGCAACAAAAACTGACCTGTGAACACCTGTAAGGGCAGTCAGAAATGTTGCTATTATTATCTCTTAACACTGTAAGGGTATAGGAACAAACTAACAGAAACTTCACAATATACAAAGAATGTTGAGCTCTCCGTGTTTTAAAAAATATCACACATAAAAATGATCGACCAATACTTCATTCTAGCAGTGTAACTACTTTAAAAAATGAAATGATTTTTGAGCTATTCCCATTGATACAGAATTAAGTTCTTCATAATTTTTTGTTACAATTCAAAACTATTCACATATATACACTTTTTTTTCAAATAAATGCAGTAAGTGGAACAGTACAAAGATAATAAAAGTGAGGAAGAAACAGCTTCAGGAAAGTTTGCTATAATCAAATATTAAGATTTAGCCACCTTTTTGAGTTCATAGCAAACTTGTACTAACGGAAATATTTTGTTAAAAAAATGAAATGTAAATTCCAAATATCCCTAAACACAGAGTGTGGTCTAAGACTTCACAGACAATATTGAAGTGCAGGTGAGGTCAGAGTTATCACCTCAATTTATAAAGGGAAAACCAAACGGAAGGAATTACTCACAGGAATAAAACACACTGCTGTAGATGAAACAAGGTCATGAAATGAAGACTAACATTTCTCAACACCCCCTTTCCTGCTCAACAAAACCCACCTTCTATCCTCATTACTCACACTAACAGAAACAAGGTGAAAAACCGTCCTGCTGTTCAGCCTTCACTGCACAACAACCCTTTAGTTTTGTTTTTCACTGGTGATATTGTCCATGCTATCCTGTTTCAGTTTTATGGTGGCAAAGAAAGACACATCTTGATCTCTGTCAGACTGCAGGGCTAGAATGGTCTCTTCTGCAGCTTCTAGATGAGGATTGCCAACACTTTTAAAATAAGCTGGAAAAAGGGGAGAAAAAAAAAGACAATT